GCAAGTCAAAATGAGACTGTTCAATTCAGTTCAGGCGACCCTAGTGGTCTAGTGGACAATGCTCATCCTGTTGATTGGATTATCAATGGGTTATTCTCATAAGCTAAAGATCTTCGATCGGATCCCTGACTAGGTGGTGAGTGCTTTCAACCGAAGAGTATCAAACAAGGACGAAAAACTGCCCAGTCTTCTTTGAAACGTGTGGCTCAAATGGCCCAATGGAAAATAGTTTTAGTGCACCTCCGTTTCAATGTTAGAATGTTCACCAACCACACCCAAGAGGTCCGAGTTCGACTCCCAACTGATGCACTCCTAAACCCCGCCTCGTCTAGTTTACTAGCCAGTACTTAGCTCGAAAAAGGGAGAAGATTGGGTGTGGGCGGCCAGTGACCTCACCCCATAAATAAACGCCATTACTACTGGAACTTCAACACTTCAAGCATGGAACCCTATGTTCCACTCAGAATCCAAGGAATAAAAAACCACATCAACAGAAAGTGACAAATATGAATAAATAGATTTGTTACTTCCTGAAACTTATTTATTAAAACGTATCTCTTCAACTTAGAAGAAATTCAGGTTCCCCCAACCCCTGAAATTCAGTCTTTTAACATTCAGTACGGTGAAAATTATTTCTTATCTGAGTTTTACGGCTTGAGAGAGGGAATTCGCCAAAATTAATAATCCTCTTCTTTTTTTGCTGACGTCAACCACTTTGATCAAGAACTGAGTTCAGTTAGATAGTCACTGAGAACCAGGAAGCACTGGACAGTACTGTTTCGCCCTAGTTTTTCAGCGGTATATACCAATCAATACACCCGGGACAGAATCCACAGCCTTCACTGACCATTCAGCCACTGGGACGGAATTCAACAACCGGCCTATGAATCATAATTTCTGTTAATTCGCGATATATAACGCCTGCCGCCTAGTCAACAACATCGGCAAGTATTTGCTGTCTTCACACACAACTTGGTGGAGCTGTCTGATCGCAACTTCTCATTAGAGTTTCAGGCAACTATACATCCTGTAGTCAGGCAGTCTTGTAACGTGAAAGTCCTTTGTCGGATTCCTGGTGGAATCATAGGGGCATACTGTTAAAGAGTCAGACACACAAGGATGAAACAGTACAGATAAGTACTCTCTAGGGGGGGGGGGGTTCAATAGTTTCTCAACATATGTGTCAGTTTGTGATCAAACTTGAAGTCGATCAAATCCATCTCTACAGTCTAGGCAAGCAGACAGAGACTATAACAGTTGATTCAAAATACGTTGACTAGGTAACCTATTATTATTTACTATTATTATTGTTCCCTTGGGTTCCTAGTGGAACATAGGGCTTCAACTGCACGTCTCCACGTGTTTCTGCCTTCTGCTGTACTTTTCACTTGCATCCATGTTAGTCCCATATTCTTTCGACTTCTCTTCACACGATCTCCTCCATGTCACCCTTGCACTGACGTCCCACTCGCCGCTTCCCTTACGGGTTCCACTCGAGCGATGGCCTGACGCGCGATGTCACCCAGTGGCCTCCTCAGCGAGTGTTCAATCCATCTCAACTTTCTCCTGCATATTTCTTGAGCGATTGGTTCTTGCTTTGTTTGTTCCCATAGTTTCTTGTTGGTGATTCTTTCCGGCCATCTGATCTTCAGTATAGAGCCAGCGAAGACAGTTGTTGATAAAGGTCTGCAACAGGCTGTTGGAAATATTCTTTGTGACCCGCCAAGTTTCTGATCCGCACGTATAGAAGAACTGACTGACTTGACGTTTGTATTGGAAATCCGAATTTCGTTGTTGATGCAGGCTGAGTGACGAAGATTTCCAGATTGGTTTCAGGTTGATGAATGTGTTTCTCGCCTTCCCGATTCTCGACTTGACATCCTCGTCCGTCCCTCCTGTAGTTGAGACAATGCTCCCTAGATAAGTGAATGAAGTAACCTCTTTCAAATCCCTCCCGTTGATGGTGATTGGCGCTGGATGTTGCTGCTCTTGTTGTTGTTGTTGTTGGTTGGTTATTTTCATAACCTCCGTCTTGTCTATGTTCACCTGGAGAAGACGGAACCTGCTAAACTCAACTTATTTCTTGCACACACTTCTGTAATTATCAATTGACATATAGTGAAACATCAAAATATGAATTATCTAGACATATACTGTGTTATCATGACTGAGGACCGTCTATTGTTTTTCATTTCACCAATATATTTAGAAATACTTCTCTTTATAACTGTTTATTGATTGATGTGTACACATACTGTATGTGTGTACGCATTCATATTTCATATTTTGTAAACATTGTTTACCGACTTGTTTTGTCTTCGTAGGCACAAACACAGTCACGCAATTGTTGCGTGACTGTTTGGTGTGTGTGTGTGTATGTGTGTGAGTACATATTTGTTTACTTATACTATATATAATTTTACCTCAATCTCATAAAAAAACTAAGTAGTTTACTTTGCATTAAGCTATTTTTGAATATCTATACTTATGCAAAATAGTTGGACCCCAATTAATGTGATTTCGATAAATGGATGTGAATAATTAAATGTTGACGTTAAAAACCACCTGAACTGTACTGAATTTCCAACGATTTGAACCATGTCACTAACGAACTCCAGTCAGTAATGCCTGATTTCTCAAGATCCATATACAGACAGTCTTCAGCTCTCTTCTACATGGATGAAACCAACAGCCAAAGACTTCATGGACTAAGGCCATTGTTTTGATTGATCCACTCCTTTCCGATTCAGTCCTACGTCAGCTAACATTGCTCAATTAGGAAAAGTAACGTGATTATTTAATTCAATTTTAGATTCTGCCGTCGATTGATTGGATGGAAGTTCTCAGTCTAAGGTTGACATATCGGCTTCTTATGCAGATGCTTCGACGATATCTTTTCATGTAACCTGAAGTCAATGGGTGGATGGTGACTAGTAGACGAATCCGGGATGGGGACTGGGCTAGGGCCACGGTGAGAACACCATCACTGACTCACTGGGGAATGCAGGTAGAACCAGTGACGAGTCCTAAATAAGACGAAATGAGCACCCTGGATTCCATTGCTAGTAACCAACCACCAATTGACTTCAAAAAGTATTCAAGCACATAGATACACATATACAAACACACACACAGAGTTTCAGGATCATCCATTGGCAACTATGCAATAATCTGTGATCATAAATATTTGGTTATGAGCCAAGTGTTGATGAAATCAACTAAATTAGTGACAAAATATCAGAGCATATCATGAATCTTTTCTCAAAGTCAACGTATTGTTGTTGTTGTCTTTTAAGCATTAAGACGTTGACCTTCAGCTATGCTTTCAGACTGTAAACTATCAATCACTTCAGTCCTGCTTCAAAATGGATTTACTGATGTCCTGAGAGGAGAAGAGAACTTAAAACTAGTGAGATTTTTTTAGTACGTAACACAACAACAACAACAACCAACTTGTGACTGACATCATAAACGATTTCAGTTAACTTCAAAATTACTGAAATGAAATTCTAGAGATATCCATTTGGAAGGAAGTTAGTCTCTAAAGTTCAATAGCTTATTTTGATTGACCTTCTTACAGTAGTGTTTATGTGAAGAAGGCGAATTCGAAAAAAAACTGAGAGTCAAAAACCGTCTCCGCCTATAGAAAAGTTTAAGAAAATATATCAGTATATCAGTACATCTTTCATAAACCAAGAATGATGATACTACTAAGTCAGTTTCCCAGTTTGAAATAGACGTAGGAGGATCTGAATCCAGAAACCACTGACTTAAAGACAAGAAGTACCAGAGCTCATAAGCCGTAAACTAAAAATTTCAGGTTGTATCAAACACAGTGTATGGAATATAGCTATTATTATTATTGTTATATCTCCGCAAAGATAATATTAGCAACCACGAAGGAATTGATGTGCCCCCCCCCCGCAGATTTGAACACACAATACCAAGTGGCATAGTCAAACTTATAACCTCTAATCTATTCAAACCCCATAGGCGATTAAAACTCACCTAAATATCACAATTAATCATCAATAACAAAAGGTTCTCAATAACTCCACAATGTTATCGAGATTTCATTCGCTAAAGAATATTACGAATAAGAAATCATGCTTTTCATCACTCAGCAATTCAAGTTCAATCTTCAAGTGTTGGTTCGCAGGGATTTGACTGAATTGAAGTTAGATTATAGATCAAGGAGCATTGGATAACTGTATCATCCTAGTGTGAGACTCCTCCTCAGTCGTGAGCACCAGTGACCTGAACAGGAATTTCAGTCAGGACCCTCAGGTTATGACGTCAGATCAATGACCATTACATTAGTGTCTTTGAATCCCATGACCATTAAATTCTAACTTTCATCCACCTGGGATATAGCTCTACCTTAAATCCAAGCCCTTACATCCGACTTGGGGGACACCGACAGACGTGACTTCTCATTAGAACTGCAAAAAATCTATCCCATAGTATGGTAGGTCACTAACCTGATATTCCAGTAAGTGTATATATATCACTGTTTTATGTCAAATAAACTCATCTAACAGTGAAAGTACAGGTTTAAATCCCTGATGAGGTCTTTGGATGGGCACTGTGAAGAGTTCAAGGCTGGGACGAAACCACCAACCAGTGCTTCTTACTTTTCGATAATTCTCTAAAAATAATATCACTTCGAAATCTACCTTAAAACTACGACTTGATTTTGTAACACTGAGAAATTATAAACCTCCTTGAAAATATCAACTAATAAGCATAGAAAATTCGATTGAAGCCTATTTTACTGAAAACTTGAAAATTATAAACCTGTGATACAAATCGACTAAAGTTGACATTAGAACACTGCTCAGTTTTCACTACTTGAAGATGACAACTTATGCATGTAAGTGTAACGCCTAAACCAGTGAGTCACAGTAAGCAGGAAAAATAAAGCTTATAAGTCATCACATTCAATACAACAAAATAAATAATTGACAACATAAAGCCAATGTGATATATATTAGACCTACTCAATAAAAGAAGTATCTGGTCCAAGGACAGCTCCACAACCTGGCCAATCACAAACTTGTCCAGCGATAAGTAATGCTCTCGCTGGATCTGTAGTCAACGCTGGTAGATTTGTACCAAGAGCTTGACTACCAGATTTCAGTCCAACTGATGTCATTGCTCCTGATCCTGTCATCGTTGTATTCGTATTCTCGCGTCCATCTTCTGTACATAAGACTGACAGATTATTAGAATCAAATGTATTCGACAGGAGACATCGTTGTTCAAGGGATCTATGCAGTTGGTCCAGTTCACCGATTAATATTTTCTCATATAAAGCTAAAATTCAATAATGAATTGATAAAATAATAACTAGAGTATACTGTTGAAATCCTTGTGATAAACATGACCACACTTTTGAAAATACAAAGAGAATGTATAAATATGATATTATTTTGTTTGATATATTGGCTACTAGTGCGGCATATATCACTGACAAGATTTCGTCAGCAATATATTGTGTGCATGTAATGTTTTTTTTCCCTTCACGTCCCCCAGTGGAACATAGGGCTTCAACCTAGTGGCTTGAAGTCTCTATAGCAGTGTTTATTTTACAGGATGGGGTTGCTAGCCTCATGCCCAACCTTTCCTCTTCACCAGAATTATTTCTGGCTCAGCGAGGTAAAGGAGTTCGTCGGCCGGGGATCGAACCCCGGACCATGTGCATGGTTGGCTAGCGTCCTAACCACTATACCACCGACGCAACAATGTGATGTCTACTGCGAGAATATTGAATAACAGAGCAACAAATTCAGTTGCCGAGAGGATAAATGAAAGATCCATGCACGAAATAATATAGAAAGTATGAAAGGAAGACATTAAAACGAAGAACATATGCACGTAGAGATTTCGGTGTGAGTAAGGGATTTATACATTTTCCCAAATTAACGATATTCTACGAAATACTGTCTTTTCACTAGTAATCCATTTCAGAATGTGTATCTCATATACTATTTGGGACTCATCATCAGCTAAGAATGTATCCCATATCCCCACAGTGAGTAATGTATGATGACTGCTCCCATTCAAAATATGATCTAAACCTCCGTCATTGCAAAAACACTAAAGCATTGTTCACTAGGCGGCCACTGGGGTACCAATTCAAATATCACTGAAGCGTCTGTACTAGGCAGCAAGCTGACATTTCAACATAAGTAGAATATTTCGGAAAATACAAAATAACTTAGATAAAATGTATTAACGATTAACGCTTAGATTCAATAAATGATATGTTTGCTGAGAATTTTCCTGTCATCGTTATTATCAGTATCAACAACATTAGCAGCAGGAGAAGCAGCCTCAACATAGACGAAATCAAGGCCTTTCAAAAGTTGACCTTTAAGAACCGATCAGACACACGGAATGCTATGAAATGTCATTCCATATCAAATCATGCCTGGCTTTTTGGACTTGGAGAGGACAGATACAGTACTTTTTCTGCAAATCTACACTTTTAGGTAAAGTTTTAGCTTTCTAAGATTAAGGTTTAGGGCTAAAGTCAGGATTATGAGTTAGGATTATGGTTAGAGTTAGGAGTAGGTTAGAGAATAGTGCCAGAAATATTAATGCACCTCAAAGTACCATGACCTACAGTCACTTGGATGAATGGGCATACCGAGCATGGTACCATTTATCCATTGATCATCTGTGTATTGACTGGAAGGCATTCTTACAACACATAAGCTACAACTATACAGTGTTTGCAATATTTTATAGTGTATTTTTCAACGATTGTGCGACTTTTTTTGCACCTAAATTCTGATTGGTTGTTCAAGGTCACTGTGGTTTTGGCTATGATAGTTTATCTTTGCCGTAAAGTTTAGCTTGCAGCAGAGACTACTTAAAAGGTTAGTGAGTAGATAAAACTGGCGATTAAACTCTAAGGCTAAATGTGATCATCACCAAAGTTGAAACTAGGTAAGAAAGATCATTTGCAATTAAAAGTGTTCTCTGAGTTGCGAAGCTTTCGTCGTCCTTCCGGACAACATCTTCGGCGCCATATTTAGCACAAAGTGAAATGATTTAAATTTCTTCATGCGTGATGTAATTGCGTCTCCTGGTTACTATCTTCACATATGTATTGACCACTTTCTATTGACTAGGATTTTAAACTTTTTGGTCACCTGATTTACTTTTTATTTGTTGGTATATTTCATCTATATTAACGTGTTTGTTAATCGCATTTTCGCTTGAGTACCAGGCTTCTAGGAATTCTCTGGCACTTTTCGTGTTTCCTCTGCCTAAGATTTTGACATGATCCCAATCAAACTGATGACCATAGTTGTCTGCATGCATTGATACTAACGAATACATATCATGTCTTTTCACGGCTGATTTATGTTCTTGGATTCTGATTCGAAGGGGACGAAGAAAGATCATTACAAAAAGGAATTGGTCATTATTTAGTAAGACTGTGGCTCATTGTTCTAGGAGTTCAACCATCAACCAGTTGGTCAATTGGGGTTAGTGGGCATCCCTCAAGAACACTATTGGCTGTAACCACTTTAGATGATAACTCCCCGTAAGCTCTCACCTAGCTGCATGAGCTCGAGTAGATTGCCTTAATCAGCGCGATACATCTTCTCGGCACTACCTTCACAGTCAAATACTGCCATAGTACCTCTCGGTCGAAGGAATTGTATTTTCATGATTTTATTGCTAATATGTATGTATGGTCTATTACTGCACCAGAAATACTTTGTTTCTAATCATACCGCAGTGTGACCTTCTTTCAACCTGAAGTATTTACGAATGTGTTATATAACTTCTCCTTTTGTTTGTTTTTTCTGCCAGCCTGCTCAAACCACTGGGTTACTAATGAAATCTGTAACCGGAATAAATGCATCTACTTTTCTCCGTTTCATCTCGTTTTTAGTCTTCTAATTAATGAATGCCCTTGGATGACAGCATGAAATGATGGAGAGAAAAAAACTTTTAGTTGACTGTCAATTTACCACCTCTGTACACAGCATTTCAAAAAGGAAATGAAGGAAAACAGAAATATGATAGAGAAGTAAGTCTTATTTCAGATTGAATGACATTGCATCTCATACGATATTTATACTATCGATAAATTTTTTTATTTGAATGATTCTACTACATACACGAGGAGGTAAATATTTTGCAAAAAAATAAAAGTTGAGAAGTTGTGACCAGTAGGGTGCAGCAGGTCGGGTGTGAGGACAAATACTCGCCAAAGACATTGGCTAGGGGTCGCGCTATATCGTGAATTGGCAGAAGTTGGAATTCATGGGCCATTGGATCGGGTCCCAGTGGCTTAGTGATATACGAGCTCGCCTTGTAAACCAGAAGGTCCTGGGTTCGAATCCCGGTGGATGCATACTGCCAAAGAGTCCCAAACTAGGACGAAACAGCTGTCCAGTACTCCCAGGTTTTCCGATGGTTCTCTAACTAATGTCAGCTCATGATGAAAATCCTGTAACCAATCAAATCCCTACAAACCAACACTTGAGTTGAGAATTTTGTTTTGCGTGTCAACATAATTTGCATAATAAAGCTGATATTATTATTATTATTATTACCACTACTGTTATTATTATGAATAAGTGTTATATCTTGTCAAGTCAGTGCTTCCTTATGGTTCAAAGAACTGGTGTGTAAATCACAGAAAGCATTTACTAACAGGCAGGCTGCAGCAGACTTTCATCAACACCTGCCTTCTTTGGATGATACCGCAGATCATATATGATTAGCTGGCTAGAAAAGATTAGCAAAAAGGAACTCTGACAGGGGACAAACCAACCAACCAACAAAATTGGGCAAAGTTAAAGTATCACGACCCATGGAATGCGAACGCAAGAGTGATCTTGAGCCGGCCAATCAGGAAATAGAATGGTTACTGAATAAAAATGAGGTTTCTTAATAAAAGAAATATTGAGCATAATGAAAAAACACGTTAAACAGGATATTTTTCTCTAACATGATTTAAAAATAGCTGCCAATTATAATGAGGAGTATCAGCCTTTAAGTGAGACCACTTTCTGTAAAAGTGTTCACCGGGGTGACTGAAGGTGAGCTTTTTCTGTGACCCATCTATCGCTCTTATCCCCTTTTGCAGTCTTCTACAGTAACCCTCGACTGAATTATTATGGTTTCCAGCTAAAGGATCGACGACTACTTAGTAGGAAAACGTGGTTAACAAAACTAATTAAAACGCATTCCGAAAACATGGACCTCAACAGTCATCAGTCCACATAGAGCAGAGACGTCAGACGATATCAGAAGAGTACTCAATCAGCTCGACATCAGAGTTTTCTTCAAAACATCAGACACACTACGAAACAATCTTGTCCATATAAAAGACCAAATCCCTAAAGATTCTCTATCAAATTGTATCTGTAAAATAAAATGCTTGGAATGTGATGTGACATACATAGGAAAAACGTCACCAAAGCGAAATCAAAATCAGAAGAAATGAACGCCGTAGAGCATCCATTCGACCACCGAGAAATCCGGCTGAACTAGAAAAACTTGAAAAATCACCAGTCATAACTCGTCTACACGCTATAGAATCAGACCACAAAATTGATTTGACAATATAATCCAGAAAAACTTCAGAAATTACAAAGAACGTCTAATATCAGAAGCACTTCATATTAAATGGAATCCAAATTGTCTGAACAGGAGTGATGGACGAAAACAGAATCTGACCTGGTTACAACACTTCCCTCCCCCCCCTCCCCGATGAAGTGACAAAATCATCAAGAATGTGATAAGCAAGTTCACTATGTAAACACACACTGCCTTTATAATTTTACACACTGATCAAATCCAACAATCTACACTTGGTTTTGTTATCTTTACCAACTGACCAACTTGACAACGAAAAATGACCCCAGACTGACGAACGATGATCAAGTTAGTAAACTTTGTTTTGATATCATAACAGATGTACTATTACCTCTCTCATTTGGTTTAGTGATCTTCATCGTTATTTTGACCTTCAATATTTCCTTTTAACTTGACCTAAGTAGTCTATTTTCTCACCTCTTAACTCTTTGTTACATATATGCTGAGATTTGTAAATTCCGGTTTAATAATACTTTGACAGAGCTATTAGCATTAAATAGCGAAACATCAGTAAAAACAATATCGTTTTGTTTTTCATTCATTGGGAAATACAAAAACCTTCATTATAATAAATAACACTAACCCCAAACCTAACCCTAATTATAACTCTTATCCTAACCCTAACGAGCTATTAACACATTCTCCAAACAGTACTTAAAAACGTCATCGGGGTGAAATTTACACCTTAA